GGGAGTGTTATTCCAAGAGGAGTTCTTATACTTTATTAAAAAATCAATCAATCAATCAATAAAACAGGACCTGCGTTCGCCTCCCACGCACTTCTCAGAAGAGGATGGAAAGAGGTATATTTTCAATGTATCCTCAAGTATCCACATCAGGAGAGGCTTGGAAATCACCCCCTCTCTATCTGCCTCAACTCTGGCCAATACACTGTTTCTATGAGATGACTTTCTTGAGACGTCCCTGGTGGGGTCTAGCTCTTCTCACCTTTTTGGAGGGCAAGATACATTTTCTGCCTGTCCTGGTTATTCTTTTTCTACCCGTCGTGACTTTGAGTTAAAAAAATATATGTATCAGCCGCTCCGCTGGAGCAAAGCCTTCTCTCCAATAGTTTGGATCAAGTCCATCAGAGAAATGTTCTGAAAGGCTGGTGAAGAATTCTGCTTTGCAGCTCAAAAATAAACATACGGATCAGCTACGTTAAAAGCACTTTGAAATATTATGGCTAAACAGCCCACACTGGTTGATTGCTCCATGTGGGGACATATGTTCCTGCAAACTGCGTGTATTGTTACTAATGGGGATTCTCACACCACAGCCTTTCCTTTGAATTTGAGGCACTAGTAGTTTCCCTGGAGGTGTTGCAAGGTTGTTTTAATAATTTATCAGCTTTCTTGCACTTAGCCTTGTTGCAGAGATTCAGACCCTGCTAAGAAGGAGGCATTTCTCAGTGTCCAGAGGTCTGATCTCTGCTAACAAGCTTCTTCCTCTACCACTTTGACATGGAAATCAAAGCATTAAAGCTGCTCTGAAAGGTGGATGTTAGGCAAAGGAAAAAAAAAAAAAAGGCCCCCCCCCCCCCCACCATGCCTGCACACGCCATTGACCTGTTGCCACCAGGAGCCAAGTCAGAGTGATGGTCAGGAACTTGCTCCAGGTTCCCTTTTTTAAACTTTAATTCTGTTTTTCAAAAGCACCTGTTGCTATGATGTTCCCCTCACTCTGATCCAGCCCTTAGAAACAGGCGCCCTTTATTTGTTGGTACCCTTTCTCCTCTTCCCAAATAATTATGGCTTTAGGAGAATGACAAAAAAGAGAGGCTCTCCCACTCCCTTTCCCTTCCCTTCTCCGGCTGAACACAGGCTCTTAGGGGTTCTGGCCCCCTTTGTTGTCAGCCCCTTTCTCGGCATCCCTAGTGCAACAGGGTAAGACTTTTTCCCTCTCAGCAGGTGCCTGGGATTCTCTCCGCTGATCTTTGTTGATGGAGATAAGCAAGGAGGCTTCCAGCATGTTAAATGTTGAGGCTAGGAGCAAAGGTAAAGTATGTACCTTTGTGTGCAACTTAATACATGAGGCCAGGCTTTAAGAAGAGGTGGCTGTGTGGTGGCTCCCTTTCCCAGGAGATCTTAGGGATACCAAACTCTGAATATGGAAAGTCCCCCTCTCTCCTTGGCCCTATTCCCTCCAGCTCCTGCTGCATGACGACTGCATGCCCTTTGGACGATGGGGTGGGATCCCTTTGTAGCACAAGCCCTAGGATGGCATGGCTTTGCTGAGGCTTTGCTGAGCCTGGCAGGGTGGGAGGGGAGCCTGGGCTACGGTGACTTGGTCTCCTGCTGGTCCCAATCATACATGGACCCAGAAGGTCTGGCAGATCTTTCTCCAACCGCAAAGTTGAGATGCAGTGTGTTCCCCCACCCCGTGTCTCTGAGCCTGCTGACGGGTGGCATGAGCGCTCTCCCTGGAAACCCGGCTTCGCTTTCAGTCTGTGCCTCTTTGGCCTCATGGAGGGCTCTGTTGCCATTGAGTGATCTACAAAAACAAAGGAATTCCTTCTGTTTCCCGGCCTAAACAATCGCCCCTGTTTAATCATTTCTCTTGCAACCAAGGAAGTGTGGGTTAACCTGTCAAGCTCCACAAGCCTGAGCTGACCAAAACCCTGGAAAACAAAAGACTGGAACGAAGCGGCAAAGGGTTTTGTTGTTCTATGACTGTTTGTGTTTGAGGGTAGCATGCAGCATTGTGTGTCTGTCTGTAGCCGTGTAGCCTATAGAAGCCGGAGGCTGCAATCCTTCCTCTAAGTTGCAGTTTGGTACCAGGGTTATAAATCACCCTGATCATTTGTTTCTTATATTGCTTCATATGCTTCTCTCTCTGTATCTCTCCTCTGCGAAATATTGGTTATAAAAAAGAATATGTTGTGTAGAATAAAGAAATCACTTGCATGTACCCCCCACTTGGCAAGTAGTTTTGATTCCACAGGGAATTTATTTTTTAATTGGATTAATTTCTAGCCTCTCCCGGAGTAGCAGCTGGGGTCTTTGATTCAAGAGGTTAAAACAAAGGGGAGTGAAACAAAAGACCAGTTCTTCACATTCCCGACACAGTGTGGGCCTCGTGCATGCTGCCCGGAGGTATCCCCGGAGCTGCACATTCCTGAAGGTCCCCCTGCCTGGCCTGCAGCTGGGGGTCCTCTTGAGTCCTTTTGGGGTGCTCCTCATCTGTCTTGCCTGCCCCAGGTGGCAGGGGATCGGAAAAATCTGCAAGGTGGCTTGGTGGGAGTTTCTCCCTCCCATCTCACAACTTAGCCTGTAGTCTCTCATAGCCTTATGTCTTGGTGTAAAGGAATCAAGCACCTGCTGGCACTGCTTTTGGCTGTCCCTCCTTCGTCTATCCCCCTTTTCCTAGCTCTCTTTACACTTTTTGTACCCAGGAAGAGATAGGTGAGGTTTTTCAGCTGTTAATCATCAGGCAGGTACCCAGGTTCAGTTCTCAGCTCTGTGGCCTGGAGCAACCTAATGCGGCCCAGATACACAGAAGTCTAGTGTATTTAAGTGCTCAACTGCCACTGAATCCACTAAGAGTTAGACACTTACGTTTTAGCTTTGATGTGGACTTTACCCTTGGTCAGACTCAGCTCCTCATGTCCACAAAGCACTTTACTTCTACAGCGTTGTTGTAAAGACAAATGCACTGCAGACTGCAAATATGACAGACACAACAGTGTAGGTCCTGCGGTTTGCCCACCATCAAGACCATTACCAGATCAAAGGCATCTTGCAGAAGGAACAGACATAATTAGGCAGGTCCCTTCTGGCTGTTTTGCCTTGGTGCCATTGATTTTAGAGGGTGCAGGTAACAGTGATTATCCATACCAGGCTCTGATGTGGATCTTCACAAGATCCACCCTCTCAAGAGCTTGAGGTCTGCTCAGATCATCTAGGATGGGGTAAAGTAGTTAACAGGGGAGCCATGCAGCTTCTCTGCCTGTGAAAACTGCTCTTAGCCCTCTGTGGCTATTCCTGCACATCTGGCTAGGATGATTTTGGTACCAGTTTGAGAGGTCTTTTGTACCAGTTTGAAGCTGTCCAGGCTGACGTATCTGGCAGTTCCTTGTTTCCTCCTGGACCTCATTCATGCTCTCCTCCTTGAAGGACTGTTTGTGATTTTAAGCTCTTATGAATGATGAAGAAATCTACCTTTCAGCTACCACAGAAACACCCAGCCCCCTGTGATTAGTTATGTGCATGTGTTGTGATGGGCTCCACTGATTTCCTTGTGAGGCAGCTGCTGCACTATTTGATGTGCAAGGTCCTCTTCTGAGCGCCTTTCTGCTGCCCCTGGTTAGAGAGTGTCACCTAGCACCACGCTAAATAAACACGGCCAAGCCACTCCTTACGGTTTATCTCCTGCCTATCATTTCTTAAGTCCTACCTAGCAAGATCATACCTTTATTTAAGGGTAGTTTTATATATGCCAGTGCGTTGTTACTGGGACACTAAAAATATACTCCCTGTTTCTCTGTTTCCTTGCTGTCGGGGTTCAGTGAATTCCTCCTGAATTCGCAGGGTTCCTGTCCTGCTTGTATAATTTCTTGCCCCCTGAGCCCGCACTTCTGGGTTTTATCCTACTGACACAATGCCATGATGCACTGGGGGATCTCTGAGCTAGCTGATACATCCTGGAAACAGAAAAGTGGCATTAGCACGGTGCTATGCTCGAGCTAATTAGCCCCACGTCACAGCAGGGTCAATTAGCTTGGGCACCGCACCACAGCTTCTGATCCTTGAGCCAATGTGGCCCAGGCCTGGGGGGACTTTTGCCTGATGTTGGCTAACTTGGGCCTGGGACTTCTCTTGGTCATTTCCAAGATGACAATGATGAGGGGCAGCACAAGGACAAAAAGTGACAGAGAGGCAGGAACTCAGCCTCACGCGTTAAGCCGGAGGACAGTCCCTTCCTCCCTCTCGTGTCTCCTTCTCCCCCCTCATTCCCCCATCTCAGTTGTGCCTCAGCTCACAAAGTCAGAGCCCCCAGCTGTGCAGGACTAAGTCTCTTCTCCTCACAACCTCCCGAGTCGCGGCGGACTATGAGTGAGAGCGTGCCTCGTGTCACTTCTGCTCAGGATGCCACGAGAGTGGAGGGAGTGCCCGGACGCAGGCGGCTGCTGCACTTGGCCGCCTGCCAGGCAACGTGCTCTATTCACTGCTGGCGAGCGGGCAGGCGAGGGCAGCCGCTGGGCTGGCTGTGTTGAGGGGCTGAGCAGGGGGCTCGGCGCTTGCCCGTGATGCTAGGCTGGGCACTGGGGAGCTGTGGTGCTCGCAGGGCTAGCAGGATTGGTCTTTGGCTGTGCCTCTGTGCCGCTGTTGCACCTTGGTGCTTCGAGCCCCAAATACAGCCCTTTCGGCTCTCCTTGTAGCAGACATGACGATGTGCTGGGAAATGCAGTTTGCAGCATGCAGAGATAGCCAAGAGCCGCTGCTTGGCTAGTCCATGCCGAGGGAGATGAGTGAGCTGTAATTTTTGAAGCTGAGGTGGAAAATGGAGTGTTGGCAAGGAGAGCTGGATATTGCAACGCCAAGGCTTTTGGGGAGCCATCGCCCCAGGTTTGTTGGTTGGGTCTGGATCATATTGACCTTAATCCCACAACATAGGCTTCCATCTGGCCCTTCCAGACTTGTGCTGGCAGGAGCCACTGCTTGCCTTGGGAAAAGCGGACGTGTGCTCACTCACTCAGCTTGTTGACCCCCTCTTGCATGTTCCCAGTGCTGCAAAGCTGCACAGCTAGCTCCTCGTTGTCTTTGCTGCCACACTCCCTTTCTGCCATTTACACCAGAGGAGGCTGGCACCTGTGCCTGCCCCTTGGGGCCACCACATCTGCCTTGCAAGCTGCCCTCACCGAGACAGGCGATCAAGCTCCCTCTTTTGAGCGGGCCCTATCCCCTGCTTGCTGCTTGCGAGAAGCAGCTTGCAGCTTTCGGGGCTTGAGGCCCGAGGCCCGGTGGCAGGATCGCTGCACTGCTTTCCTACTGCCTCCACCTGCTTTGTGCTTCCTGCATGTGTGAAATGTGTGTATTTGAGATGATGGCTCCAGGAGCTGATCCCCCTGATTTCAACAGATGTCAGATTGGCTTGAGTTTGAAAGCTTGACTTTGGGACTTTTGTGTGCTAGGCACCTGCACTGGCTGAGCCCAAGATTTTATTTCTGCAGGTCAAGGAGTCCCCTGGGACTGAAGACAGCAGAGTGCTAGTGAGATCCATCCGATTGCTCGCCTTCATCCTGCGTTTGGCATCGTCTCCCTTTCCCAGCTGCAGGTGGGGCTCATAGTTACACCTCCCTTACTGTCTGCCCCTTCAATAGGATGTCTTTAATGGTCTTGTAGGGACTATTTTTAGTTTCAAAACTACCTACATGTTGCTGCCTGAGATGCAGTGAGCTCTGGGGCAGAGCAAGGCATGCAAACAGCACACGACAGTAAAGAGGGGGATGATTTGGCTGAAGAGTAAACCCATCCTGTTCAAGAAATTTGGAAAGATTTCAAGTATTCATACAGAGTAGACAAGAAGCAAACTTTTCAGAAGCTTGGGGACCAGTGGAAATTTGGTTCCTAAATGATGTAGCTGCTCTTGAATATTTTACTCAAGACCTTTGTTTTAAGGTTTTCTACATTTGGCCACATTTCATCAGTTTGGGATGTTGCTCTGGATTAGATCAGACTGCTTTATGACTTCTTCAAGAGAAGACCGTCAGGATCAGGATTTCTCAACAGGATTTTTGTTTGAATCTGTCATTTTTTGACCTCCACAGGACTTTGATCTCCAGAGCTACAAAACATTCCTAAACTCATTGCTCATTTTCCATATATGGTATTTCCTCATTTTCAATTTGCAATTCACTGATTAGGCCTAACTGAGAAAACACAATGCAGGGCGGGAGCTGGGTGCCATGACCTGGAGTTGGAGCTGGTGGCAGCCCAGGGAAGAGCCGAGGAAAGTGGGGTTATTTTCCATGACTGAGGGACACATCCTTGCAATAACCTCATGCTGTGTGTTTGCCCATCTTTAGGATATAGCTAGTCAGTCTCAAAATGTCACCTGTTCCACCTGTATCTGTATATGCGCAACACAGCAGAGAGATAAGGCGATCTGGAAACAACATGCCGTCTCTATGGCTACACTTATAACAGTAAATAAAACGTGCTGTCCTTGGCTCTGTTTAGTTTGCTTATAAAGATGTAGCTTATGATGACATGGCCCTTTTTTTTTTTTGGTGGAAATTACTTCTGACTTTTACAGTTTAACTGTCTAGTGCTATCAGTTATTTCATTCACTTTAAAAAGAAGTGCCCGATTTTGCAAGCCACCCAGTGTTAGTAGGTTTTACATCTGGAACTGAACGGAAATACAGGAACCAGCACATATTTGACATGGGCTCTCCAGGAGAAAAATCATTTAGCCCAAATGTTCACAGAATCCTGTTTTGAAAAGTTAAATGAATTGTTGTCACTTTTTAAGTGCAGCAATAAATGTGTGGAGTGACCTCACAGAAGAGCTTGAGGCTTAGAAAAGAATTGCTAAAGAAATGCATCAAATTAGGCAAAAAAAGAGCATAAAATCTGCATTATCCAAAATTGCTAAGAGCTGGTGGCTCGAGTGACTTTCCTATTTGCTGCTGTACTAAACACCAAATTCGTGTTTCTGCCTAAAAGAATTTGCATCTCTGCAGCGAGCAGGTCTGAAAGCGTTGTTTTGTGGTAGAGGTATGCAGTGGTGGGGTGAGAGGTAGAAAATGATGCAATCAAGCATGGTTTGTAAGAGGAGGGTCATTGATGGGTAAAGCCTCACAGAAGTTAAAACTGACAAATAAGCACTCAGAGATGCTCCTGGAACATCATAGGTACAGCCGGGGAGTAGTCTGGCAGAGTTGTAACTGGAGAGGCTTGAATTCGCCTCAGAGCATTATGCATGTATATATATGTGTTATATATTATAATGAATATGATAATTATAGAAGATAATTTATAATATATGTGTATTATATGAGTCCCTCCTCAATAAGCTAAAACAATGCCGTGAGAGTCTAAAGAAATGTGAAATCTAATTATCGTAGCTTTGTAAGTGAAGTAATGAGGAGCTTGAGAGTGTGACTGATAAGCAATTAGATACTAGACTAATGAGCAAGCTGTCTACAGCCCATCGAAAGAGTAAGGGAGGTTTGTGCAAGACACCCCTGGCATTGTAAGAGGAAGATGTACCACATCCAGATGCTGCTCTCCAAGACACACAACACGATGTGAACACGTGATGCTAGCTAATGACTGGAGACTGTGTGCGCAGTTCACGGACAGAGTAATTAACCAGTTAAAATGAGTGTGGCAGACCCACAGCAGCTAAGGACAACAGAAAGCCCAAAGTATAAGGGCCTGACTGCAAGTACATGTAGGAGAGCTGTAGCTTAGATTCAAGGTATTGGGTAAGTAACCCTACATTGATATGCTGTGTTTCCCTGAATAAAATAGAAATTGATAAATTGGTGAGAAACTAGTGTTGTGCTGGACTGTGTGGCCAGCAATGAGTCTGGAGTAGGGGCAGTGGGTGCACTGGGGAAAGGGGCTCAAGGCCACAGCTCTGTGTGCAGGGAAGTCCTATATAACAATACTTACGTTGTATACAAGATTGTTTCCAGCTGCTTATACTTCACCGACTATTAACTGTTTAGGCTGAAATTTTCCATGCTGGGTGCCTGCTTTAGGCTGTTTTTTTTTTTTTTTCCTAAGAGAAAGTTTTAGCTGAAGCAGTTCAGCTATCTTCAGAAAGGAGGATAGGATAAATTTATCCTAGGCTTTTTATGGATGTTTTGCCTGTGGGATAAACATCTAGGCTCTCCTCTTTTTCTTTTCTGTTCTTTTTTCTTTTTTTCTGAACCAGAGAGTTTTTATGGCTGGGTTTGAAGACTTGAACGTTTGCAAGAGCATGTCTTGTTAAAGCAGGTGAGTGACTTCTGCCGTTCCAGTGAACATTCAGCCAAATTGGGCCATACATCTGAAACCCCGTAAGCCTGTAGGTGTTAAGCAGAGATTTAGCAGCTAAATCTCCTTTAAATTCTACCTGCACTGAGCATGCTATAGCATGAGAAGGGACCGGCTTTTGTGTTAAGTGCAGCCCTGGGCACATCCGGGGACCTGAAAGCCGTATGCATCTCTCTGTAGTTTCAGGCAGATGGAGGAAGAAACTCCTGGTTTTGAATGAAGCAGGGATG